TCATTTGCCATCTGACCAACACGTCGAACGGACACGGACACGGACACGGCCAACGATCCGATCCGATGCGATCCGACTCGGCCACAGCCTCGGTCTGGCCAGGGTCGGGACCCGTTTACCGCCGGCATTTCGCGATCTTCTGCGTTCGTTCCCCACTCCGAGTGGGTCTGTGTGTGTTTGTTTGTTTGTTTGTGTGTGTTCTTGTTGATCTGGAGCAAATTGCTTTTTGGCGGTTAATAAATTTTCAAATTAATTGACTAATTGCATACCTACAGCGTCGTGAGCCCGAACAACCCAAAGTGCTGGGAGTGAGGAGCGGTGAGCGGGAAAAGAGAATGCGATCCGGAGATGGACTGCGCGGAACTGCCGCTGATTCCCCACTGATAAGACTGGCTCCGGGCCGAGCCACATATCTTCTAATTGCCGCTGAGTAAATATTGCATTGCTTTCGCCTTCGCCCAAGTGCCATCAAATGCGGCAGTTGCAATGCACTCCCAATGGAGGGGGCGTCTCCCGGCTCCGATTCATAGCTGCAAGCTCTCGGACAAACATAAGCCAGGCGGGCAAACCGTTCATTAGTCGTTCATACAGGGGATACAGGGGCGACAGATACGGACACTGCTGATCGGACCAATGGACATGATAAGCTGTAATGACACAATGGAATGGGACTCCTAATACCCTGCAATCAAAGCAGCAGCTAAATGGACTCTAAAGTGTAGCATTAATGGACACAAGTTTACGGCTTTATTTTGTGTCTGTGTGCAAATAAAATAGCTTAGTCGGCAGAGATGAGGGAGAGGTTTTCTGTGAGTTCTGTGCACGCATTTAAATGTTCAAGGACTCTTCGCCAATTCCCTTAGTTCTCCGGTTGAAGGGTTAATTGTGGAGAGTGCAAAAGTAATTTAATTTTATTTATTTTTACAATTCAAAAGCAAGTTATGGCTCTTAAGTAATATCCTATTCAATTCTCTAATACATCTCGTAGACTGATTCTATCTCCGATTCCCCAACACCTGAGCTCGTATAATTAGCAAAACTCTCTCCGCCCTCCGCCCTCATCCTCTTTGGTAGTTCCACTCCCTCCCCAAAGTGTTCATTACAGCAATGAAGCCAAAATTACTAATTCATTAATTGAAACCTGCCCTGGCTGCTCGCCCTCAGCGCAGGTCCAGACAGGACACACCAGGAAAGTCCTGCCCGGCCCAGATGTCCCTTCCCTCAGCATCACACGCGCAGGCGACACATGCCATGGACCATGGACCCCTCTCCTCTTTTCCCCCCACTATCTGGACCTATCCTATCCACATGCTGCACATGCCAACGGTAAAAACGAAAGTGCCGTGTTGCCATTTTATGAACTGTTTCTGCTCTGCTCTGCTCTGTTCTGCTCTGTTCTGCTCTGTTCTGTTGCAGAGGACACGGCACTTACACTTGCCACACAAAATGCTCCCCAGTTAATAATTTCGAAGTGTGTAAAATCAAATTGCTGGCACGTTGTGGATGTGCGGATGTGGGGATGTGGGGAGAGTAGCTATCTCTCAGATACTTTGTGTCTGTCTGTCTGTCTGTCTGTTGTCTCTGGTGCTGTATCTGTCGCTGGCCTAATTTGCTCGTGATTCCATCAACTTAATGGCCAATACTCTTCGAGTTCTCTGAATGGATAATTTATGCATAAGCGTGGCGTTTCTCTCTCTCTCTCTCTCTCTCTCTGTCTCTGTCTCCTCTTGGATTCTCCATCTATCTTCAATGGATTCTCACTGGCATATGTGGAATTTTTGCACTTTGCTGGCACTTAAACTCTGCTCTGCACATTTTTTGCTCGACTTTCCTCTTTGGGCGTAGTATTCGGACAGGACAGACATTTGTCCGTATTGCAGGTGCTGTCGTTTGTTTGTCTGGACTCTGACTCTCTCTTTCCCTCTTTCTCTTTTCCACTTTTCTCTCTCTGTCCCTGTGTCCCTGTCTCTCTGCTTGGTGTTGTTGTGTAATGTCTATGAATATGAATTATGGAAATTGCCCCGCAACGGCGAGGAGTACGACAAGGACAGCGACCAGCACAGCCAGAGGACAGCAGACAGCGGACAGCGGACAGAGCAAACCCTAGTCGGAATATTCGCACTCTACTCACACTCGGATTCACAATACTCGCATTCACACTCGCACTCACACTCACACCCAGACTCAATCGCATTTGGCACATTTTTTGCACCGCTTTTGTCATTTGTTTGCAAATTTAAAAACTCTCTTGGGAGGGGTTTCCATTTTTTCGTTGGGGGTCGGTTTTGAGGCTTTGAGGTCGTTGGAACAGTGACCGACTTTTGGTGGGTTGCTTCAGTTTAACAGACGCGGAAAGTGGACAAAGAATACCCCTAATGTGTCCAGTTCCAGTGTGTCCACCCATTCGTATGGTCTGCCTGCCTGCCGTAGTGCCATGCCCATGCGGCGCTCCGCTATTAAAATCGCATAAATTCAATTATAAATAAGACCCAACCAAAACATGCTCAGAGCAAGCTGAAAATTGGAAAATTATGCGAAAAGAACTCGCTCGCCCCCGACTGGCCCCGCCCCGTCGGACATCCGCCACTGACATTTACATTTATGCTTGCAAATTTAACAAATAATATTCAATTAACAATTTGAATACGAATTTATTACAGGGTGCCAGCCGACGGCGTCCGACGGAGGCCGGCCAGCCGGCCGGTGGCCGCGCGTTCAAAGTGGTAACAACTTCGACATCGGCATCGACATGTGCGGTGGCAGGGGACAGGGACAGCGACAGGGGGCTCTCTGGGGGAAGTAACGAGTTGGCCAAGTGGCCGACTTGTTTACCCTGCCACTGCCACTGGCAGCAGCAGCCGAAGCAGCCGAAGCAGCAGAAGCAGTGGCTGCGGCAGCAACAAAACATACAAAACACAAACAGAACAAAACAAAGTAAAGTAAAACAGAAAAAGTTATGTGAAAAAGGTGGGAAAATGCAAGCATTGTTAGCCTTTTGGCCAGGCAACGAGGCAGAGGTAACGAAGCATGCAGCACTGGGGACGCAGAGGGGATGTGGATGTGGCTGGGGATGGGGAGGGCGATGTGGCAGCCACTGACTGACTGGCTGGCTGACTGACGGACGGAGGAAGCCGCGCAGGAAGCGCAAGGAGCAGAGCACAATTCCTGGCAGGCCGCACATTTCAATAATTATTAACTGCAACATGCAACATGGCCCTGGCCGGCCCCAGTCCAGCCCAGCCCTGCCCTGCCCTGCCCTGACAGTGTGCAACATGCGACGTGGTACGAGTGAGTGTAAGTACGTGCAACGTGCCGCACAGTAGCCGGTGCACCACCACCACTACCGCCAGCAACAGCAACAGCAGCACGCGGAGACGCGACTCGCGGACCTGCAATTATCAAAACTTGTCCAAAATGACATTTTTGCTGGCCATTTGGTTCGGGCCAGGTGGACGGACGCACAAATAGGGAGCGGGGGGGCGATGGCCCGTTGGCCCGTTGGCCATTGCATTTTGGCACGTTGCGGATTTTGAAATGCAAACACGGCATTTAATTCTATTAGGGCCGCAATTTAATTATCTCTCGCGGCGGCAGCCCGAAACGCCACGTTCAATGTCGGCGAGCCGGAAGAGAATGTCTGGCCCCAGCCCGTGCCCCAGCCCCTGCCTAAGTGCAGCTATCTAGGCATCCCGTAAGCCACAGCTGCAGTAGCTCCTGTGGTAGCACCTACTTGGAGCCGCTTATCCGGCGATCTTATCTGTGAGTGCCAAAAGTGCTGCCCACCAGCGGAGCATAGAGCCGAGATCGTGGATCGTGGATCGCTGGGAGAAGCGAAGCCCACTTGTTGCGCCTGTGCCAATATTTAGCTACCGATTTGCACGAGATTATCAATTGAATATAAATAATAAGTGGGAGCAGCCCCACCAGCAGCAGCTACAGGAGGCTCCCTACCCTGGGTGGCTCTCTCGTGAATGCCTCTGCAATTTTGCGCCTCAATGCGCTGCCATCAATGCCTGTAATTTGAGAGGCCTGCCCCAGCCCCAGCCGCTACCCCGCAACGAGAACATGACTGCGGCTGATCAGCGCCCTCTGTCCATGGCCCTCCCTCTCCACGTGTGTAATTGGATTTTAAGAAGTAGCTGCTTGACTCGTCCGGAGTGCGGACCGACCACGCTGATTGATAACCTCGCATCAAGAGGTCCCAAACAACAGACTGGCATACACGCCTGCAGTGGCTCTGGGGCTTTGATGTTCTGCTGCAGCCTTAAGATCAATTTAAAACGAATTCGAAATACCCTGACCAAAACGTTGGGCACCTAAGTGAGGGCCCAGAGGGCAGCGGCGTCGCCTAAGAACGATTGCAACGCCACACAAGTCAGTTTGATGTTTGGCTCTTAACAACGCCAACGCCATAGTCAGTCGGGTAGTCAGTCTGCACCTCCCAGGGTAGGGTAGGCACACAGGCCTGGCATTCGGTTGCCTTGCCCGATCAGCAGCAGCAGCAGCAGCAGCAGCAAGAACAAATGTTGATAGCACCGGGGCCGATAGTGAGTGGGTCCCAACCAGAGCAGAGCAGAGCAGAGCAGAGCATCGCAGCTCCCCTTCCGCTGTGCGTGTCAGCCCGCGTCGGCTGCGTTGGCCAATTGAATTGCCATGTTTAATATTAATTGCCAGCAGGAGAGCGGGCAACATGGCAAGCTTTTAGCTAATCAGCGGAGAGTGAATCAATCACTTCCACACGCGGCCTCCGGGGTTTCCCGGTCCACCCACATTAACGCCTCCACTGCATAAATATTCATCTCGGGCGATCTCCTAGCTAAATGTATGCTAGGGTAATGAGGGCCAACACCAACACCAACACCAAGACCAGCACTATCGTAATTAGTTTCTAGGATAGCATTAGTAGACATGCCCACACTCTACGCTAGTCCGCTGAGCACTACGTATTTTTCGCAACTTAAGAGAATAATGAAACAGAATAAAAGTGGAAATTTTCTTACCCATGTCTGTTGATATGCCGCCGTATTGTGTTAAATCAGATCTTATCTTACCTGAAAATGCAGCCAAAGCAGAGAGGAGAAACGTTTAAAAAATGTGGAATCAAAATTGTTTGCTCTCCGCTGCGGAGAGATCTGCGGGAGCCGGGTCAGAGGAGGAGGGGATGTGGAGGGATGTGTATGGAGCAGGGAGCTTTCAGGTTAAGCAGCCGCACGTGTTGCACAGCCGGATGAGATTTACTAAACAGAGCTTTGTTGTTCTTGTCGGTTGGTGTGCACTGTACCCAGTACCCTGTACAGAGCACCCTCTTCAGGTGCGAATAGAGGGGGAAGAGATAGGCAGAGCCACTGATGAGGGAGGCAGTGAACTATTTGGCTCTGGTTCTGATTTATTTATTTTAGTTTTTATTTATTTTACTACTTTAATTACAACTAAAATTTGTCTCTCTCCTGCACCGACTGACTCCATAAGGAAGGATGCTCAAAGCAGTCAATAGTTTTTATTAGCAGGTGCAACGAAGTTTGTACCCCGCACAGCACTTGAATGGGTCGTCTCTGGCACTACGGGGGCGTATCTATCCAACATACAATACATGCATATATGTGTATGTACATAGGCCAACAATCAATCCCCCTTCAGCCTGATTCATGGACATTGCAGTGCCCATCCCCTTGCTCACATTCTCTCTCCTTTTTTCACGATATTTAGCGCCGTCTCCGTTTGTTTATGCCACGAAAGTGCAAAATGTAAACAATCAGAAATGCCAACGCCTCGCACGGGCGTGGAGGGCGTGAGGGGGCGTCGGCAGTTTTCCATAGAAAAGGTAAAAGTATAAAAATATGATTTAATGGCAGCGATAAAACACGTGTGTATTTAAATATGCGCGCCCGGCGCCTGAGTAAACGTAATTTTCCAGCAGAGGAGCAGCGCCCCGAGGACCCGCGCACGCCGAAGAGACAGGGCCAGAAGCAGAGCCAGACAGATGCCCATCCAGACCCATAGACAAAAATGGAAACAACAAAGAAAATATGAAATTAAAAAGAAAAGAAACCAAACCAAACCAAACCCAACAGCAAACAGCAAAAAGCAAAAAGAAGCAGCCGAAAACTATGGTCGTCGGGAAGGGGGTGAGGGGCGAATGGAAAATTTGACAAACGCTGTTTAATTTTTTTTTTGCAGTGCCAGCCGCAAATGAAAATTATGAAAAGCCAAAAAGGGGAAAACTAAAAAACAAACTGCGGTGGGGGCAGGGCCAGGGCCAGGGGCAGGGGCAGCCACTTTAGACAAATTCAAACAAACGGTTGGAACGGTGGATGGTGGATGGTGGAGGGCGGAGGGGGATGCTGCAAGTAGGGGGGTCCGGAGAGTGTTTACATGCGACGAGACTTGTAAAAATTAAACATTTAGCTTGCGGTCTCCAGCCAGACTCCGACTCCGACTCCTGGCCCCCGAAGGAGTCACCGCCACCCCACCCCTCGCAACCTTCGGAGCACTGCGTTTTCACACCTTTTGGACCGTGTGGCAATGTGACTGAGGAAGGGGTGGGGGGCACAGGCAGCGGCGGGTGGCGAGGGGCAATAAAATGATTTTTATGACTCTTTAAGGCGGCGCACGCCTCGTTCTGTGGGAGGATTAGTCGCCAGCCGCATAAATGAGGCAGCCAGCGACAGAGACAGAGACGGAGAGAGAGAGAGAGCGATAGGGAGAGAGGGAGACTGCACCCTGAGTGGGAGAGAGAGCGTGATTTGCTCCATTTTATGGCTGCAGCTTGCGGCGTCTTTGGGCTTTTGTTGCCCCATCAAAGGGGCAGATATAAATCTTAATTGCCGACCCAAATAAATAGACGCCAAGCACATGGCAGTGGCAGTGGCAGTGGCAGAGGCATCGCATCGACTGAGCCAAGTGTCTGGTGCTGATCCGAAACTTTTGGGAGACAATGCATCCCGAACGAGACCCTTCAGTTGCAGCCTTGCCTCACTTCACTTCACTTTCAGGGGAAAACTCGTTAGCTGTTTAGCATAAACACTTTCCCAGCCGGCCGACAAGTTTGACCAGGGCCCAGATAACAACTTCCAGCCAACAACAAGTTCCAGCCAAAGAAGTCATTAAGGAAACATTAAATTGACATTAATGTGGGAGGGAGCTGGCTGCTGGGTGCTGGGTGCTGGGAGCCAGGAGCCCCACGGAGGGGTCGGTCCGCCGAGTCCACCTCCTACGGAACTGAAACCGATTTTAGGACCGAGTTCAACGTACGACAGAATAAATCAAAGCAGTGCCTATAAATTATGTTGCATAAACATAACAAATACAAATGTTCGCAGAGCGCTACGAACAAATCGATTCGATGACCCAGCAACGAAAAAATGCTGCGGCTCGGACGGCTATAACAGTTACCCACATTTCGGCCGAACAGCCAGCCGCGTAAATCACAGAAACAGAGAAAAAACAAGCTCAAGCTACCGTGGAAGATGGCCCGATCGAAGGGCATCAACGAAAGTGGCAAGGCATGGCCTACAACTCAATCGGTATAGCATATTTCGACGGTTTCGACAGAGATATCGACGGTTTTTTTTTGGTAAATTAAAGCATTATTTGGTCCAGAGTCCACAAGCCTGGCTGACGAAATTTTGGTGATGATCTGTTGACTTTTATAGCTTGATATTCATCCACCTTTTGGCCTGGATGATCTCAAGCCAGGTGATTACTCCTTCTAGCCGAGCCAATGGAACGAACATGTGTAGCAGCTGTCGCTGGCCGCTCAGAGTCTACGTCTATCGGAAGAGCCACCTCCAGGCAGCCGCTGAACAATTGTGAACCCATTAATCTTTGTCTCCTTAGTCTTTGAGATTTCTATCTTAATTGAAGCTCATTATGATATGCGTTGCCTACCAGCCTAGCGCAACTTCTGTTACAAAACCCCAAGTCAACCGATATTCAAACGAGATCGTGGGCAGGCAGCTTTTGCACCCAGTCAGCTGGGGGGAGTCAAAGTGGTGAGCGGAGAGTGGGGAGCAGAGAGCGGTGCTCTAGCCGGAGATCAGATCGCAATCAGGCAGCGAGGCGGAGGCCCAATCCCGGCGTGAGCGGAGCCCACCACCAATGAATTATTAATAATAAATAAATCATTATTAAAATCAAAATAATACGCAAATATGCATATTATCCGAAACTACATGGAATCGGGAGTCCGTCCAGGTCGTTTCATGTTTACGCCACTTTCTCAGACATTCTCATATACGCACATACATACAGACATGGGTACATATGTACATCCCCATACACACAAGTGGTTATAATGAATGATTTGTTGTTTTATAATAAACACGCCGAACGCCGAGCACCGGACAGCGACGCCGACGTCGTCGTCGTCGTTGGAGTGGCGTGGCAATGGCTATGACGTAGCCAGAACAGGGGGGACTTTGGAGTTCGGGGTACGGGGTCCGGGCCTCCGCTTTATGTTTTGGTTGCCTCTGTACCCCGCCTTCTGAGCTGCCCCGCTTCCTACTCCCCCATTCAGAGCTTGGCCCTTTTTGGCATGGCGCGTTTTCAATGCATTTCTTCTCTCTCTCTTTCGGCCACGACTTCTCTGCTCTGTCTCGCTCTTTCTTTGGATGTGTTGTCGGGCCGTGTTGTGTTGTTGTTTTTATTAGGTATCAAAAACACCTTAAAACATGATTTTGCAACTGCCACGAAAAGACGGCTGCACAGTGGGCTGACATTGATGTAAAATATGTTTTAAGTTATATCTATATACGTACATATATATAAATACATATGTACATATAGTATTTTTGCTTATTAACCTATTATTTATTTATAACTAATGCGAAGTTTCACAAACGCGCAAATAGTAATTCTCATATCAATGTTTATTTAAAAAACAAACAACAAAAATTTACTTTATGTTAACAAACGTTTTTGAAGAACCTTAAATGTTTGTATAAAAACTATTTAATTTCTATACTATTTTAAAGCCATTTAACTTTATTTTTTAAAGTTTCGAAAGTGGATTGTGTCTTGCAAATTTCTTATACTCTTATCAGTTAGATCCAAATATATTATTTTTTGTATATATTTTTTATATCCCACGTAATTTACAGGATCTATAAATGGATTGGGTTTCTTTGGGCAGAACTTGCAGTGGTAAATGATTTTGGCTAGCTATTGCCTTCATTTGCTGTTTGTACAAATAATTAAATATGGAATATAGTACAGCCTCACTGCACTCTTGAAGCTACTCTTCAGGGCATTATATATTCTTAAACTAATTTTTATTAAGCAAAGAGCCGTGCGTATTTTTTGTAACCAAAATCGCTTGCATTTGCCCATAGTTTGTGCGCGGGAATCGGAAAGGAAAAGGAAAGAACCAAAATTGCTGGAGTCACCGTCGCTGCTGGCCCATGTGTCTGGGCCACTTTGTGTTGTCGTGGTTGTCGAAGTCTTGCAACGCGGACCCGTGGTCGGAGTCCAGCGACTTGAGGACCGCCAAGGTGCTTATTAAATTCCTTATTTAAAAATACATTAAAAAAATGCAAGAAGCTGCGCCACAGCCCGAAAACCAATCCCCGAAAAAGAAGCGCACGGCCAGGGGGATCAGATCCGAGCCAGGGTCCCAGGGTCCCCGTGCCCCATCAGCTGCTCCGACGCATCCGCCGCAACAAAATTGTTTCTGAATCGCTTTGATTCGTTTCTGATTTTGCATTTTGCATTTTGCATTTCGCATTTTTCGATTCGTGTTGTTGTTGTTGTTGTTGTTATTTGATATTTTGTGGCGAAAAAATGATTAAAAGCGCGCGTTGAAATGCTTTCCTGTGTGTGTTTTGCACTCGCATTTACATAATCATCATCGGCATCGGCATCAGCATCAACATCATCGTCTGGCTTCCTCTATCTGCTGCAAGGGGCGGCGGTGGTGGTGGCAGTGCCACTTGCGGCCTATTAATGGCATGTTGCAAGTGCTCTAACTGTTGCATGACACGCTGCAGTTGCAGTTGCAGTGCAATGGCATTTGACCGAGCCACAAAACACTGTCCATCCGCGATCCACAATGCACATCCACATTGCACAGCACATTAACCTTGAGCGGACCCGACGTGCCTTCGGCCATTGTACGTGCGGACCACAATTGCAATGGTGGTGCAGGTAGTGGCATAGGCCTCTGGTCTGGTCTCTGGTCTGGCTAAGGACAACGCAAACGCATCCTGATAATTGCGTCACAGCGGGAAGGGACTGCGGCAAATATGAATTATGATTGCTCGATACGTGTCAATTGCAGGCCTGGCCGGAGATTCTCAAGGTCATTGGGTGACAAAAAAAATACGGACCGCTCTGCGCTGCGCGGGTATCGGTCCTTTGGAGTGGACCAAAACTACAGGCCCAAATTAGGCACTACTTGTACGAATTTCGGGACAGCAGCCCCACAGCCATAGCGAGCATTTCACAGCCAGAGAGCCAGAGGGACAGAGGGACAGACGGACAGGCGAACCTATAAACCACTTCAACATCCACCTCACACGCTGGCCAGGCCAAATAAAGCAAATTTACGAATTTATGTTGAAATTTATCGATAATGACTTAAAAGCCTTCAGGACAATGATTTAATGCGCCTCTACTGCCGCTCGCCGTGTTCGCACATACAGAAACAGCAACAGTCACTGGCACTGACACTGGCACAGCCACATATACGGGGCACTCAGAACAGCGTAGCAGCCACTTGGGGCACCACCAACACAAGCCCCAACACAAGCCCCCAACTCCAACTTGAGAGCCGGAGACGGAGCCAAACACTGATGTAGGTTTTCAAATCTGAAACCATGTTTAGATACGATAAAATTGAATTCGGTTTGCATTTTGGTCGGCGATCAGCGGCAAATGATCGATGATCGCTGCAAGTGTGCGCCGATTTATTTATGACTTGATTTCCCGTTCCTCCGATCGATTTAATCAGCCTGCTCTGAGCGGATCGGATCGGTGGAAATTAAATTATTTTCACATTATATGCCTGGATTTGGGTTGCGAATAAATCAAACTGGCGATAGCAATTGACGAATGGTCATTGATGTTGATTTTGGCTGGATGAAATGGAGATAGGCAGCTGCGATAGTGAGAGCGAGTACAATCAGCATACATCAATCTGTTTGTCCGAATGGCTGCGAATTCTCAGCGAATTCTCAGCGAATTCTCTGCGAATTGTTTGTTGAGGATATTTCTGTTCATTATGTGGCTAATAATACAATTAAAATAACGACCCTATAGAAAATCCCATACAAAGACAAATTTGAAACGATCACCAATATGAACTCACCTATTGGTGAATATCGTATCGTATTACTATATCGTATCGTTTTCTTATCAGAAGCAGATTCAAGTCGGATTCAAGTAGACAGAAAACTTGTATCGTATATGGTACAAGAAGAAGGAGCCAAAAGGTGTTATAATTAATTTCGTCTTCAGGTAAGACGATTTTCTAGTGGAACGTCTTCCGTTGGAATCCCACTGAGTGTTGTAGCACTGAAGGTTTGGTGGCTGCCCGCTCGAGACACCCTGTACGGAGAGTTTTCGGCAGGGGACTGAGACCGGGACCGGCCTGGACAATTCATCACCGACACTACAGACTGGGATGGGGCTGGAGATGGGGCTGGGACAGCGCATAAATTTCATTACGCTGATCATCTCGCTGCCTTATAAACGGAATCGATTGATTGAGCTCCTTTGCGGCGGGCCGGGCAGATTGTTGTCTGGAAACCTGTCGCCTCTCAGTCTTGGGGCCTCTCAGCGGCCTGCCCTTAGTTTCGTATTTAGTTCAACTTTAATTGTTTTTTAACCAGCTCTTCGCGGTCCCAGGTTCCTGTAAGTGAAATTTGATTGATTTTCAGAGTGCGTTCAGGTGCTCACTCAGTAGAGAGCCAGCTCGGAGCTCTAGAGTGCAATTTATGTTCGATCGTTGACCGCCTAGATTCCGCTAAGGGCCAGAAGAGGAACCGGAATCACTCCGGTGACCTACTCGTGCTCCAGCCATTGTTCTGACCCTCACTGGAATCTCAAACTCAAGCCGTTCGCCTCGCTCGGCTGGTGGCTTCCCTGCTGGCTGGGTACGAGGTCCTGAACATAATTACATAATGGCGTAGTTAACTGTAATAAGCGCGACTTCTGCTCCCAGTGTGTGTCCTGAAAGGATTCGTTTTTCCTCGTTCCTGGCTTTTGCTGAAAAAGAGCTGGCTCCTGTGGCTGTTGCTATTTCGCAGCTCTTTCAGCAGCATGCCATAATTTACGCTGCTCGCTGTTCGCCGTGTGCTGTTCATGTTGCCGACTCGCAGCTCTCTTGTTGCACAAATTGCAGCTCACTTTTGTTGCCACTTTTGCCGACGTTGCAACAATTACCGACGACGACGACGACTACAACTACGACTAGGACGCTGCCTCCGTCGCCCCCGTCGCCACCACTGCTGCTGCTGCTGCTGAGCATCATTAAAAGCAAAGGTGACAAAAATTAGTAAACAAAGTGTTGAAAATTATGAGGCAGCCGGAGCGCTGCAAGGTGTGCGGCGGCCGAGGAGCGAGACTCCTGCAGGTGGAAGAGGATGTATCGAGCTCGGCTCGGTCTCGGGGTGCCGGAGAAACCGTGGCTCATTGGCCTTATTTATGAGCTGGCTGTGCTGGCTGAGCTCGCTTGGAGTGATTAAATCGCTTAAATTGCCCGACAACGAATAAACCATCTACAGATTGAAGACTTCAATGAGCGGCTTTAAATAGAATAATTGGAAGTCGTTTTTCACTCTATTCAGATTCTTTTAGTAAGGATAAGAATCTGGCTCCATCTATTTTTTTTATTTATCAATTGTCTTAGGTTTGTATTTATTTTTGTCCATTATTATTTTAGTAGTTTCAACTGTTTGAAATTTCTGTCTACTCTTTCGTTGAATTGGCAATGATTGCAATGTATTGTACGTCCACTTAATTTCTGCGAATGTGTCTACTATTTCATACTTATATTTTTAATAGTTCACAGAAAGAGTTGCAAGTTGCAGCTCACATTTTGTTGATTCACTTGGGGGCAGAAGCAGCTATCTATCTGTTTAGTTTGCTTGGTATTATTTTAGTTGTTTGATGTTCTGCATTGTACCTCCCATGGAGTCAAACGATTTTTCCGTCTGGTTTAGCCGCCCACTGAATATAGTTAGTCACATGATTACCGTTGTTTTAGCTGACAAAATCTGCTGAGTTGAGTCCGATGTCTACTAGATCACACCCCATCGCTGCATCGATGCATCGCCCCATCGATAACAACTGGGAAAACACGCGTCGAAGAACAACAAAGCTTTGTCAGAGGGTTGGGTGGGGTGGACAGGGGATGGGCGGATTCGGGGATTGAGCAATGAGGAGTTGGCACAGTGGACACTCACTTTTGGTCGGATCTTCAGGGCACTCACCTGCGATAGCCATCCAGGGGTAGAATGTGTGATTGCTCGCCTGGTGTAAGCTGCTGGCGGCCGCTGTCTGTGCCGCTGCGGCGCCCGAGATGGTGCAGTTGGCGTTCCAGGCGGTGCCTGCTCCCACGCTCCCGACGCCCACACCGACGCCCACGCCTGGGGCGCCGCTTTGACCGCTCTGGCCCCCTCCGCCGGCGCTCACGTTGCCCCCGGCGCTGCCACCGCGATGGCTGACGGGGCTGCCGCCCGATGTGTCCAAGTAGCCACCGACGCGCGAGTCGGGGGTGCAGGCGGATGGGCGCACGGGCATGCCGCCCGCGGCGTTGTTCTGTCCGTTGGCGGCGTTGGCCGCGTTCGATCCGTTGGACGCATTGCCACCGGCTCCACCTCCGCCCCCTCCGCCTCCTGTGCCGCCGCCGTTGGAGCCGCCCGTGTTCCAGATGTCCTTGTAGCCGTTGACGGCGTCCGCCTTGATGTTGAGGCAGTCCTGCTTGTAGGCGCTGGCCCCGTCGCCGTAGATCTTGTTGCAGGCGGCCGTGATGCTGGCGTCGTAGGGCGAGTCCTGGGTGGTGCGCTGCAGATGGTGGTTGGCGTACGGCGACATGCCCAGCGAGAGGGGAAAGCCCCGGTAGGCAGCCGCTGCGGCGCTGGCCGTCTGGTCGTGGTGGCCGCCGCTGCCCATGGCCATGCCCGTGGCCTGGTGCGGATGGCCGTAGAAGCCGGAGGCCTGCTCAAAGTACGAGTTCATGTTGCTGCTGGCGGTGAGAATCTTGGCGGTTGGGCTGCTGCTGCTGGCAGCTCCTTGAAGTAGCTGATCCTTGCGGTGCGATCGGGATCTGGATCGGAATCGGGATCGGGCTCGCTATCGAGGGGGATTCTATTAAATTTTTTCAGATCTAGATTTGGGCTTGATTCGGTTCGGATGGAGCTGACTCTTCGGTAGCACTTCACGGAATTATCCTATTTTAAATATTGCACTTTCCGCTGGCATAGTACCGCAATGCGAGTATTTAATTAGATTAGATTAAATTAAATTAAATTTAGATATTTGTTCACAAGTGTTTCGTATTTAGTTTCGATTCCAATTGCACTTGCTCTTGCTCTTGCGCTTCTCTTCACTCATTCGAGTCGCAGGGGCACTTCCACTTGTTTGGATTTCTGGGGCACTATCGAGGGCTCGTTAGCGTTACGATTACTGTTATGCTTATTGTTATTGCAATTATTATTATTATTATTTTTATGTTTATTTTTATTTTTATTGTTGCTGTAGCTGTAGCTGTTGCTGTTGCTTCTGCTGACCGAACGACCGACGACAGCGACAAGCGCGCGGTTCCCAAACAAACTCACGAATGCCGCTCGAAATTCAAATTCAAATTCAAACTCAAATTGTGATTCAGATTTAGATTCAGATTCAGATGGATGGTGGAGTCGCACTGGCGGATATTCGCGCGGCCACTGCGAGTGCATTCACGAATAGGCGCGTGGGCAGAAGACAGTGCCACTAACGATAATGCCGCTGATAATGTGGATTGTGGATAATAAAACAAAGCGCGCGCCTTCTAGCCAACCGAACCGAACGAATTCGCTGCTATCGAGTGAATGGGCCACCAAACTCTCAGTTGGCCGTATTTTGACGTCGCAGTCGACTTTCCCTCCACCCCCCTCCCCAATCTACCAAAGCCAAAGAAGAAGCATCCAAAACAGAGAGGAGAGAAAATAACGCGAGTGAGCGAAACCGAAACCGAAGCAGAACGAGACACGAGACTGAGGAATGAACGCCCAAAAACACTCAAGCGCTGCGTTTATTTGAGTTTGCGTTCATTCTCACTCTGAACATGTTTTGAGCGCTGCCCGCTCTGCTCTCTCTCTCTCGTACCGCTCTTGCTGGGTGGAAAATTCATCATGAGGGCTGATTTTCTTATAGGCGGCACTCTCTCCACTCCACTCCATTCAATCGAGTTGCACTCGACTCGAATCCGACACCAACTGGCAGCCAGCAAATGCTGCTCGACTCGCCAGTCGCCAGTCGACCATTCTGCGCTGCATTTTGTGCCCACATCTGATTCTTTTCACAAAAATACACTTGTCTCTCTTGCTCGTTGCGTTTATTAATTATTAAATTAAACCGCCTTGACCGCTTAAGCTAAACGCTGTGAGAATTATTGAGGTTTGAGCTATTGAACCAGACAGTTGAATACTCCCATGACATAAGACAGGAATTGTAGTATTCTATTCAACCCGAAACCATAGCCTTGAGGGAGTTAATGGCGTGCGGTACAATCTTCCAGCATGGAGCATTTGAATTTGCGTTAGTTTTATCAAATGTGACTACCACAGGCTGCAGGGAGCTGCTTTCAATATTTTTCACCTTGGCTATTTGAACAGCCCTAATTAATACCTGAAGATTTAATTTAACAAAAACTGTATCGTGATAAATATTAGAGGCTCATCTACAAACGAATTTCAATAATCTGGAAAACATCCAACTCTATTTGATTTATCGGCAGTATTACCTCGTAAGAGTTTGTAAAAAAAAAGGGAGTAAAGTAACGAAATTTAGCTTGTTAGACTTCAGAATTAGAAAAGCAATAAAATGGCAGCTTAAATTATTTTTCAAGAGATTTTCCATCGCGATTTTTGAAGTAAAAATATTTTTACCCGACAGATTAAACCATTTTCTGTACGATTTAATTAATAAGCGTTATTTTATTCCGCTATTTTGCATTGTTTTTTTGACTGTAAAAGGTATTAAACTAGTCGAAAAAAAGGTATGGGGCACTCTTAGTTTTTAATTAGATATGCTCATGTTCCTAATTTGTCCATATTTTCAAAATTTTTATTTGGACAAGGATTCACGCTTAGTTCTAGTTCTGTAGAAAAATGCTTTCAACGGTTGCCAAAACTCTCAAATTTTGAAAAACGAGAGCTAAGGAAAAAGAAACCAAAGAATCTGAAATAAAAATCATTCAGCATTTTCCCAACCAAAGAAAATCGTATGCTGAGATTGGCGAAATTACAGAGAGAGTTACAGACTTCCTTTCGGAGCATCGCGCAACGGTTCAAAGGAGCTGCAACATTATAAAGTTTGAAACGCAAAAGAATATCTTATCGATAAATAATGTTGTACACGAACATAAAATTAATTTAAATATTTCTTTTACAACAATGCTATTATGCTATTTAAATGCATTTATTTCAGTTACCTATTTTCTTCTCCATTCTACTGCCCACGGTACTTCTATGTGAATATAATTTATACATATTCAGACAACAAGAAGGTCAGAAACTAAAGAACTGAATTTCTATTTAAATTCTTGGTGAGTCGAGCTAATATTATTTCTTATAAGCTGAAGAATATAAACGGAACAATGACAAACCAAATAGTTCCTTTGAAAAATATTTTAAATCTATATTTACAAATCCAAATAAATTTTAGAATCCAACTGTTTGGCTGCTGCATCATACGCTCATCATGTGTCATAAATGAATTAACTGAATTATCCATCTGAATGTTTAGCTAAAAGTATGATAACTGTACTATAAAGTGTGATTCTAGTTTGGTTTGTGTGTGTGTGTGCTGCGGTTTTCACAATCGGATTCAAATTCAATTGCCGATTCCGTTTGGCTCTGCTCTGAATGGTATATTAATGTCAATGTAAATATGGCCGAGAATAGATGCTAATAAATTCGAGTGCATAATGCAAATAGATCGGCTCCCGTCCATCCTGCATCGGAACGCAGAGCAGAGCAGCGCAGCGCAGCGCAATACGCAGAGCCATTCGCGAAAGTTTCGCAAATATTTGTCAAAGTTTCCACATTCGCACAAACGGCTCGTAGATTAAGCCAGAAGCCAGAAGCCAGAAACCAGAAACAGAAAGACGACGAACAAACAAAGTTGCTTGCCACAAGTGTTTGCAAAATAAACTTATTATAAGAAGAAATTTACTTTTCCCGCCCCTGCCCATATGCCAGTGTGTGCCTGAGATGGCTCGATGGTGACTCGCGTTCTGTGCCAAGTCTGTAAAATCAACAACAAGCGAGAGATACAAAAACTTGCACAAAGCGCACGGATGTCCACACACAGAGCTACCCAGATACACGGATACACACAGCCACAAACACAGGCCAGCACAAAGAGAGAGAGAGACATCGAAGTCGGAGACGCGGCGACATTTTCAAAAAATGCGGCCAGCCAAAGGAAGCCCCCAGCCACAGCCCCAAGGAGCGGCAAGGAGCGACGACAAGCGGAAAGCGATGGCAAAAGCAAGTCCAAAGCAAAAAGTAAAACGGAGAAGTAAAAATCGCAGTCGCAACTGCAAACTAAATATTGTGAGTCGGAGCCAGGACCCCCGGACCAGTACTCGTACCCATGCCCGTACACAGTCCACAGACCACAGGAGCAGCCCTGCCGAAGCGGGGATGACAGAGAAAATAGCCTCATAACCATTTGAAGCCATTCGAAGGCGCATAAAAGGATCACAACAATCGCCGAAATGAGCCATAATGAGCTCGTAAAAATTTTGCTACCTAATATACTCGGGAATCTTACGAGTACGAGTATATTCAAACTTGCTACGTTATGGGGTATGCAATGGGGCTGGCTGTGGCTCTGGCTCCTCTTGCTTGTGTGACTGCCGTTGCTGGGGCTGCTGCTCCTGTAGGAGCTACGTGTGCACAGGACATGAATCGGTGAGTGTTTTTGCTTGGAATCGATGATTGTTTTTCCTGTGGCTGGGGGGAAAGGAATTTGTTATGCGGTTACGTTACATTTTGTGATTGATTAGTCGCAATATTTTTCGAATTAAAAGAAGCGCCTTGAAACCGAGAATTGAATCACAGTTTCAATTCCTCTAAAAGTGTTTGCTTTAATGCCTTAGTTGTACTGCACTCATAGGATATCGGGCACCTTGATGGGTTTTCGGAATACGCAATCAGAATTTTGTTAAAAATCAGTTTTATAATGTCTAAATTATCATTATCCATTACAATAGAACAGAAATAGCGTGCTAGTGAATTTTTAGATAAATTTAACTTTCGTTTAAAAGAATTTTTTGTTTATATTTCTACGGAATGCACAAGAAAATTAATGTGGAAAGAACGCTAAACTATTTGACACTGATTTGATGTATCCATCCGGTTTCTTAAATTAAATCTCTAGTAGCTGATTGATTGATTTGGACACTGTTCCGATTTATTTAATTCTATTCCTGATTTTACAGATAATGCTATCAATAATATTTGCAAATGCTATTTCTAAAATAAATGATTTTTTCTGTATCCTATCTTTCTTTAGTTGCCAAAATATATAATTGCTTTTAGCTGGATCAAACAGAAGAAGTTTTATTTTTATTTAGGCAGAGCCAGCTCCCGCCCTTGCCCAACCCCTACTTAAATCTTTGATTGTCTTTGAGAAAGCTCCCATCGAGATTGTGCATTTTGATTCCCAGTCATTTGCATACAAAGCGATCTCATTTTCGTAGTGGCCCTCCCCGCATACGCTCCCTGCCAGCTCTGTCAACGGTAGCTTGTTGCGAAAATTTACGGGAGCTCCCGTTCTGTCGTGGTCTGGCTTGGGGGCAGAAAAGCTCACACCTGACCTGTCCCAAGTGCCCACTGGACATGGCCAGAGCTAAGCGCGGCCAATTAGCCCCAAAGGCAGACGTACCTGCCACGACTCCGGCATGGCTCCTCCTCCTCCTCCACCCCGGCCCTCGATTTGGGTGATTGATGGGCCCTCTGCTGTGGGAGTTGGGGCCTCAGTCGCTTTTGAAAACTGGTGCACGGCAATTAGACAAGCAATTTAATTGCCGCTCCACCCTCGTGGCCCATTGCTGCCGTCCCTGCTGTTTTATTGGCCATAATCGCTCAAATCAAGCGATGCGACCAAGGGATAGGTGCAGACAATCTAATCATAGTCCAAAACAGATATCGGAACAGATATCCACTCGGGGCAGGGCCAGCTGGGGCTGCGGGGAGCGGCAGCCAGCCACTTACGCAGCTAATAAAGCAGCAATTCGGCAGCTGGAAGCGCCAGCGCTGACGCCAGTCCAAACATCAAAAGACCAGTGCCAGCTCTCCTCTCCTCGCAGAGATCAAACGCACAGAAATGGAGGTTTATTTACAAAAGAAATGTTCAACAAAATACACGTACTCGTACTCGCAGTCGTACTCGAAGCCGAAGCCCCGCCACACAGCCTACACTACTTGTCTTTGTTTATGCATTGTCTATACAGATTTTGGCTCTTTTTCGGGTGGCTGCTGGCGCTTATCCTCCTCCTGCCTCGGCACCTGTTGGATGCTGGACGCTAAATGGGGGATGTGGCGTGTTCGATATTGTTTTGAAGGGCGCTTTTATCGCCACTCTCCAGATTTATCACACACCAATCGTTCACAATTTTCAAAGTCAATACATTTTGCTGTGAGAATGGGCTTTGAAGGGACCGAGCCCCAGACCGAATCCGTTGATCTTCGGCGGTGTTGACAGCTTGATGGGGCGAATTTGATGCATGCAGCATTCAAATGGCTTCAGTCTCAATTGATTGGCTGTGAAGTGCCTTCCGCGGATCAACTCAACGAAACAAACAAGCGAT